CAACGATTCGCGAACTGATATATATATATATATATATATATATATATATATATATATATGTATTTCAATGCTGGTTACTTACCGCACAAAATTTTAGGTTCAAGATCTATTGTTTTTTTGGGAAATGGCGACCAAATTTTTTATGTACTATATTGGTTCTTCGAGAGTGTAATATAATTTAATCGGTCAGTTGTATGCAACGTAGAATCTGGCGTATGTATACATTGATTCACGTTACCACACCCCATTAGCATAATGAGATGAGATTGCCGGGCTGAATCCCAGAGTAGTAGAGAAAGTAAGTTTTAGTGGTAATAGAAAAAATCAGGTATCGAAGGAAGACACTGTTCAACAAGAAAATTTGGGTTTTTGGAATAAACAGTTATTTGAAAACTCAAGATTGCATAAAATACAGTATAAATCTTTTTGCGCGATTGTAAACAACTTTAAGCCACCTCACCCAAAATCTCTACCCATTGTTTACAATGATCACGCGAACTTCAACCAGGTAGTCTGCATCTATCTATATGGCTCAGTTCAACAATCAGGGTATTCATGGACTGGTGCCACATCTTGGTTTGGCCACCCTCTAGCTTTCTATCTACCTACTTCTACACTTGCCATCATCGCGCGTTGAGATATTCGGTGGATTGGCATATTTAATTACATATCCTGACTATCTCAGTCGATGGTGGTTCACCTAGTTAATTAAGTAGGATTTTACTCTTTGCTTAGAATTAATTCATTTTCTTTACCCCGTCTGGACCAATAACTAACGACGGTCTATTATTATTATTATTATTATTGTTTAGGGTCAACAAAACGATTATGTACTAGTTTCATTAGTACGTACACGTACTGTTGGTCATTTACGTGATGTTCGCCGTTTAATTGTTGCTTTATCACGTGCCAGGCTTGGATTGTACATATTTGCTAGAATTGAACAATTTGCCAATTGTCCAGAATTAAAACCTGCTTTTGATTTACTTTTAAATCGTACATCTGATGAAAGTAAACAAATGAAACCGACTGAGCTACACCTAACACCATGGGAAGTATGGATTGTAAGTTTCTTTGGGGGGATTAATTCTGTCATATCATATAACTTTTTTTATAAAAATTTTTTCAAATAATTCATAAGCTTTCATTAACGCTGTAAAACGAAGACGTAAAGCTATTATCTGTTTGACAATAGAGTACTAGATCGTTTTCGATAACTTCGTTATCAGTCTCTACACTTATTAATCCAAAATGATCATTTTTATATTGCAATTGACAAAATATTAAAGCTGAATTAATCCATTTTATTAATTGGAAATGATAAACTTCACATCGATTGAATATTGAATAATCAAGATTACTTACTAAACAAAATAACGACTAGGCCTATATGGAGTCATGAGTCTTCCCTTTTTGGATCACAATTAGTTCAGTAGCATTATTGAAAAAAATTACTCTTATTACCTATTGAAAAACTTCATTTCTCTCTTAGTTGTTGTCGTATGTTGAAAATATGATGAGTGGTTTAATCAATGAGGTAACGCTGTATATAAGATACATGGATGATCTCATTCTGTACGCTATTGAGTTTATATGTTAACTGAATAGCATCTAACTCTTTGTTATCATCGTAATCAAGACTTAATTTGTTCTTACATTTTGTATATGAACTGTTCTCAGCATTACCAATGAAGTTATTTTGTTTTGTTATGTTGGCAATTTGTACTATTTAAGACTCAATCGACTTAAAGTTCTCCATTTTCAATTTAGAATATGGAATAATTCGACTTTAATATTTTTTTCTGTTTCACTCATTTAAGCTCACAATCGATTGATTTAACGCACTAGTGAAGCAGTTCTACAGTAATCTACTCAGTTTCTACGACACACTTGAATGTCTGAATAAATCTTGTTTGTTAATGGGTTTCTTAGATTTAAATAACATCCCAAAGCACTTAGGATGCACATGTGCCAACAATGATGGATAAGTTGCAAAGATTAGCATCAATAATGCGAGAATACAAACTGCTACCGATCAAGTTGCAGTGTGACCATTGGTTTAAATGAGTCGGTATCGCGTTGAATATGGTTGGATCTAGTCATGCTGACTAGTACTATTTAGCACGAGACTTAAGTTCATAGATTCCTACCGATTGGTTCTAACCAACTCCTAACTCATGTGACTGCTGAGAATTGCGTTGGATAAAGTGTCGGTCTTGAATCAGATATGTGGTATAACGTGATCCAGTCTGTGTATGTCTTATCGATCGAGTATCCGGTTCAGTTGTAGTGTAATTTCGGTCGCCAGTCGTAAAATCGTGTCATAGTAGTGTGATGTAAGAAACGGTAAACATTTATATTCTGCCGTTATATCATATTTATTTCAGTGGTGTTTCACTACAACTCATAGTTAAACAACGTAGTTCTCATCACATATACATGAATATAGTACATAATATTGATCAGATTTGTCGTTATTTGTTGAATGGTCGCTACTTTATCGACCTATCTTTTAGTGCATAAACGAATGTATACCCGTCCGAAACACTCTTATTTCTATTTTTAATACACAATTTTGTTCTAAACGTGTTTAGTCGGTAGGATAAATACAAAGATAAGTGTACTATGTATATCCTATTAACATCGTTATCGTTCGATAATACTGGAGCCAAACGGGGACAAAAATGGTTAACTGGATGTGATTAAATTTATTTGTATGCCCAACAATTACAATAAATCACGTGAATTATCACACCTTGCGCAAATATCCTGATAGTTATATAGTTTACTTACAAGTGGTCGGTCAGTCACTCGTACACAACGTAGAATCTTGTATTTATGCTCATCAGTCCAAGTTGTCATACTATATTAGAACAGAGAGACTAATTGAGTTTAGTTTTTAACAGTACCTGAAAGGACAAGGCATAGACGACATAACTCAAGAAAAAAATAAATGAACTTGTGGAATAAAAAAGTACAAAATAATTTTGGAACTGATTATTTAATAGGAATATAAAGAGTAAATGCATCTGTGTCAATGCTTCCTGTCCCGAAATAGTGTCACTCAACATCCACATCAATTGTTTACGATAATTGTATGAGCTTCGGCTAGGTTTGTGCCCCTACCAACACAACTCAATCCAACAGTCAATGACTTCGTGAACTGATGTTACGTTCTTGTTTGATTTCCCCTAGTTTTCTTTCAATCTACTTCTACATCAGCCAGAGTAGACACATATAACATATCCCAATCACTTTAGTCGATAAAGACTCACTACTTCAAACGATTCTCCATCTTCACCTAATATCATGTGTCTAACCTCAGTATTACTCACTCTTTCACAGGTAAAATATCTAATACTAACTTTTCAGTTAGCGTATTTGCTATTCATACGTATATCTCCTTTGCAATACAGTCAATTTTAAACCAATTAACTTTTTTCTTCTAAAACAAAATAACTTAGGATCCCCGTAGTCCAACGGTACTGAAGGAACAACATCGTCTACAAACTGATCATGATCTTAATCAACCACCTTTGATCATTAAAGATATGCCACAAATGAGCAATTATGTTCGTGAATTATACGATCAAAAATTGCAATATTTAATGACTCAATTACAAAAACAACAACACGTACAGAATAAAACGATAACAATATCGAATACTGGTACTACTACTACTGCTACTACTACTACTGTTAACTCAAAAGATATTACTATCGGCAATGATTCATCGTCTAGTTTATCCATTTCAAGCACAGATTTAAATAAATTGCCTCAAGAACAACAGCAACCACTGGAGTCGGCTACTACCGAAAATAATCATAGTGGTGATGTTATGGGTATCAGTCAAGGATTAGATCATACTGCTAGTCTTATGTTGGTTGATAATGATGATGCCTCTGGCGTTTCTATCGGTACTCCTCCTACTACTCCTACCATCAATACAGATGAAGCGAACGCTGATAATTCTGTGGAAATGGCAGACACTAATTAATATTTTCTATGTTTAGTGATGTCTCACTATGCTTTTATTATGTTGACTGTATAGAATAAATTTTTTAATCTAATTCAAGCTAGTTTTTAACGTGATTTAAAGAGGATCTTTTAGTTGTTAGGCGGAAATCTTATTTTAAAAATACATGATGAGCCATACAAATATATCGGTTGTAAGACTGTTACCCACCTTAGATAGTGTGAGACGGTCGTTTAATATAGTGAATTGATTAAAGTTCGACATATTCATCAGTGTATTCCGTCTCAGTGGTCTAGAGGTCGTGCTCAAACACATGACCGAAAGTCCTGGATCCGACCCCAGGTGATCGGGCTGCGAATACTCACTTCTAAGGAATGCTTTACTAAGACAAAACGGCTCGCCATCACGTTCTGATCTTCAATGAATTTCTAGCTTAAGTCGGTCCCTGATATCAAGTAGTTTACATGTAGATTGACAAGAATTCAATGGGACCATTGTGGGTAGTGTAAAAGTATACGAATAAGAGAAGACCATAAAGTAGTTGTTTAAACTTTGCAAAAACGTCAGGGAAGAATTCGTCAGTGATTCACACTGAGATAAAACGATTAGAATGATGAAAAATGCCTTAAAGCTTTGTTCAGTAACTTTTTGCTAACTTTTAATAGTTTATCTCCAGCATCTATTGAACGTTGATGTTGCCGCTTGACTTTAATCAAAGTTGAAAACTTCTTATGATGTCCAGAGTGAAATTGTTAAAGGGCAGTTGAGTGAAGAATAGCTGGAACCGCTACTTGACTAGACATGCCTTCTTTCCATTGGTAAAGCTAAAGCAATCATCGTTCAGGTGAATCTGTTTGTCATAGTGATTTTCCGGCACAGTAATGAATCACTAATTCTCTCCTAATATCAATCAAGGTATCTAGAGCGGATAGAATGGCAACTGTAGATATCTAACTAGGTAGCTGCAATAGTAATCTATTTCTGTGGTGGTCAATAATCCAACAATCAAAAACTCCAACTACGTTAGTCAATATAGAAAATTAACTTCAAAAATGTGAAATCACAGCATAATTGAGAAACAACAATCGAATTTTGATCGTTATTATTAATAGTGAATCATAAGGGTAAACACGTTTTTGAAAAATATGCGGTTCATATACATGCTCGTACATTGTTTGATATATTTTTCAAGTGGTTGATAATTCTTGGAGTTGTTTCTTCTCATTTAGATATTCCTCTTCAATTCTTTCTTTCAATTCCGATGCATCCAATGTACTCTTAAAAAAGAAATATATCTTCATTACTATTTGAAATACCAATAATTAAACTAAAGTTATGTAGTAGCCAAATATTAGTTCTGTTGTGTTGAGGCGGTCATCCGTTTTCTGATACTGATATATACCTTCCCTATACGCGAACTCAAACTCCCGATTGAGTGAAAAACCAAGAGTATAAAATTTTTATTGGTTAACCCGAACCAAAATATATACACAAATTCATTAATACAGACATATGTTCCCCGGAAAATTTAGCCAGATTCTCAGCTATTGGTGTATGTCCGTTTCTTTCGATAGTTGAGCCGAATCGTGACCAGTAGTGTCCTCATATCAACAGCTCTTATCGTTCGGCCCTGAACTAATCTATCTGATTGATCTTAACTATCCAGTGCTTAATTTGTATGCTGTTAAAATTTCAGTAATATACTAAAAGTAATAACTAGTTCACTACTCTATAATAATAGTTGCAGTGGATAGTCCTCATGTACGAAAAAACCCACTTCATCTAACCGAAAGCGTATGTCTTAATTTTAGAATGAGAAGTTCACTCCAACTGACCAATACATATATTATTTAGTCTTTATTTGTGATAACCTTTGAACTTTCACTTGCCCACTCGATCATAGTATCCACTAATGATGAGTTCGCTCGATTCTAATAAAACCAATCACCACCGCAAACGGCAACACGAGTGACCAATAACGACTGGAAATATGAACACCTGTTGGTCCATGTAGCCAGTCAGAACACGAAGATAGCGAATAGACTCAGCTTCTCTGCTTGCTTTATCCTACGATTCACAGGATTGTATATATCAAAATGGATGACAACAACGATCTACCAAGATGAAATCCTAATGTATACATAAGGTGCATTATTAATTAACGGTAGTTTAGTAACGGTTTATCGGTTAAATTAAAACCTACAATAACGGTAATATAAAAATGTCATAAACATTTAACAACTACGTAACAAAAATATATATAATAATTTTCCGTAGAAAAGTTATAAACTTTTTACCTATCCCAGTTATTCGTCCATATCAAATATCGGTGTAACACTACAGTACACTGTCTCATTAGGTTATTGAAACCAACTTAACAGATAGATTTGCTTAATCTAGTTAACACTTCAACAAGACATATCTACAATCTTGTGATCATTAGCTTGACTCACGTGACTTGGATCTGTGTTTTTGTTATAGCTGTTATCACTGAGTTCTTATGCAATTAGTGATTGACCCGTTAAAACTGATATGTCTACACACCAGTTGATTATTAAGGCGTAACCAGTGCTATTTTATTATTAAGCTTAGTGCATATGTTACAGGAGAAGAAAAAGACACCACTACAATGTCCTAGTCTACCATACTTATTATATTATGAGATGAAAAGTTTACCAAAGTAGAACTGTATCCAAAAATCTGACTGTTAACCATTATTGACAAAGAAACTCTTCAAGAATTCACTACTATATCCAAACTAAATACAACAATTATTATTTATAAATTAATGTTTAATTGTAATATTTAACTTGCTTGTTTTGATTGTGAATTGAATAAATGTAATTCTTCAACACGATTTAATTGTTTTAAATAATCATGTCTCATTGATAATACAATATCAACTGCTAAATTATATTTATTTGCCAATTCAAGTGCTCTGTAAGAGGATGAATAAATAAGTGAATAGAATCAAAGGAAGCAAACATTGAAATAAGCACATTAGTTCTCGTGGATAAATAATACATACAGATTCAATAAGACTACTATCAAACTAATAATAACGATTATCAATTTATATGTAAAGATGGATAGTGGTTAACAAAGGATTCCAGGATGCACGTTTCGTCCTACTCGGGACTCGTCAGCTGGATGTACCAGCATCTCAAGGTTGATATTCACTCTGGGACTCGGACTCAGCACCGTTCGCTTCAAACACCACCGCCTTATCCACTTAGCTACTGAATCCTGATAGTCAATTGCTTGTGCAATGGGGTTAAGTTTAAATTCATTTGGTATTGTTTGTTTGAATCTTCCCATTGATGTTTAGAACTGTAATTGATCAGTCTCTTATTAGCATATGTGTGTATTGCTTCGATATAGCCTTAAATAGGACGAAACGCGCGTCCTGGATTCCACTATCCACCTTTGCACATAATGCTTGTGAATTAAGGCTATATCGAGGCAATACGCACAGTATGCACATATGCCAATAAGAGACTGATCATTTGCAGTCCTAAACATCAATGGGAATTATCAAACAAACAATACCAAGTGATTATCAATTTAGTTTTACTAAAGAAATTACAATGGTTGATATTATTTTCAAAGTTGGAATTTATCCTAATTTTAATTTCCTTATTGGATTGAGACAGATGTAGGATTTAATTATCTAAAGATGAATTCCGATACTGTTAAGCATAGATTTAGCGTGATCAAAGTCAAAACAATTAAACTATTTGGCTTGAAAAACTTTATCTATTTCTAAAACATAAATTAATACCGTTAGTAAAAAAAAACAGAAATCAATGCAGTATATTAAAAGGAAAAAGGAGGGAGACAAAAATGAGCCATATCGAACAGTAGATAAAAGACACAAATGAGACCCCGGTTACATGGTAATGGGTTCACACTATTGAGGAGTCCTATAGTTGTATGAAACAGGCGTCTTGTGCTTCCAAGTTTTAGTGAAAAACTATGACTTTTAGATTTAAAAAAACTTCAAATTAAAACAGTTATTAAGTGGGTATACTTGCTCATAACTGACCGACTAAACAAACTTTGAAGTAGTCGACCTATAAATTTAACTATTCTCATTTCATATTTTTGTAAACAGATAAATTTATTTTTATCGCCCAGTTAAATAATAAAATTAGATTGTTGAGTTTAAATTGATATCACGAATAGACCAATGTTAGACGACCATTAAAAACCCAGAAGCACTGGACAGCCTTTTCGTCCTAGTATGGAACTCTTCAGCAGTGCTCAGCCACAATCCCGCACGTTGGACTTGAACCCGGGACCTTTGGTCGCGCAATATCGTGGACTAATAAAAGTAGGATTAAATTTGACTCTAAACACATAAATTCTTGGATGCGATTAATAATTTCTATGATTTAAAATTATCAGAGGAAAAATTAAAACGTTATGACTAGTAGTTTGGCAGTCATATATTAATTTCACTGGCGAACGAGAAGTTTACAATGGCATGATGTGCGATAGCGGACAGACATTTATCTTTGCTAAATGTTGAAACAGTAATAATATCGTGAATGCCTTTCGGAGAGGCCATGATTTATGTACGAACGAATCAGATCTAAGAATACAGCTCTCTCATTTTGGTGCAAAATTTATTTATCCATATGGCTGGGGACGAACTTCACGTTGACAGGTTTTTTGAATGTATCATAATAAGTAATTAAGAACAATAACGGAGCGGATTTGCATGCATATAGCATAAAATTCTCTTTGAACCTAGCACACAACAATAGCATCAAACTGCATCACAAGGTAAGTCCTAACTTAGAATCCTGAAGGGAAATGGAAAAGAGAAAGACCAAAGAACACATTACGTCGGGAAATAAAAGCATATATGAAAACGATGAATAAAAACTGGAAAGGATTGCCCAGGACAGGGTTGGATGGCGAGTGCTGATGGGTGGCCTATGCTCCTCCACGAGGAGTAACAGGCGTAAGTATAGTAAGTAATTACAATTATTTTTTCGTATATTTACTCACTCAGTGGTAGTTATTCTGTAATAATTTCTATCATAGAATTAATTGGAGATATGGCTTTTGCTATATTACAATTTCTTTTCCATCATGACTGATTGCGTTACGCTTTACAAGTTTGTAGGATGATGGAGTAGTATTTTCGTCGTAGAAAACTATACATTTATCATGTAAGCCAGCAATAATGACAGAACCAAACACGCCCTCCACCATGGATTATGAACGTGTAAATAACAAGTCCAAGTTCATTTTGATTGGGTGTCAAGTTCAAGGTCACTATTGCGAACGATAGTGGAGCCTATCCTTATCCTAAATTTACATAACACCTAATATCATTTCGTGATGAAAAACCTAATTCTGATTCCTTATCCTAACTTTTAACCCTAACTCTTAGTTACGATTCTTAAAACTAATTTATAAACTTATTTTGACCGTAGTAAGTGATTGAAGTTTCTCAAGGACAATTTAGTATCACTCAAAGATCGTCCATAAATTATAGTCTCACTGCCTTTTTATTGTGGATTTGTTCTCTAAACTCACTGTGGGATTTCACCACTTGTGTTAAGTAACCTATTGCTAGTTCATTACTGTATTCTCTACTTTCTGTCCGATATTGTACCTGTACATAATGCATGATCTAGTATAGTGTTCTAATTATCTCGTTTTGAGTGCCCAGTCTAGAGTCATAGTATTATCGTATATTCGTACCGATGAAAAATCATATTTTATTCCTACGTTACATTAACTTGCATATGCCGTCGAATCATTGTTGCTTTTTACCTAGCAGTTTGTATAGTACTATGTTATTTTAATAAGATCAGACCTATTTTCTGGTTTTGTCTTTGATATCAACTGCATTCAATGACTTCGTGTCGATAATTTGATCCCATATGGAGTTAACCTTCGGCCACAAAGCTTCATAAAGCATTTCATTTATCGAACAGTCAGCCAGTCAGCTACAACGTAGGACCAGGCACTTATGTGCATCGGTCCAAGTTGGCATACCTCATTAGCAGAACAAGATGAACACAGGATTCATAGAAGTAGTTAATTCAGTGGTGGTAATATATAAAAGAAAGATTGCATATAAGGACTTGGTACAAGAAGAAAGAATTAGTTCATAGAAAGAAAGGTATGATGCAATCTTACGGTTTAAGGGAAGAGTTTATACACCGACGCCATTGTGATCGGTTCTGAGCCATGTCACACAGAGTCTCCAACCGTTCGTTACGATAGTCACGAGGCCTCCAACCAAGTAGTCTGCATCTACCAACATGGCTCAGACTAGAAGTTAGTGGTTAGGCCGCCTCTAACTTTCTTCCAACTGCCTCCAACACTAGTCAGCATTGCACGTAATGGCAATCGATGGTTGGGCATGCGTAATACATTGCTCAACCATCTCAGTTGATGAAGATTCACAACCTCATCAACTGATTTACTATTATTCTCTAGTACCCTGCGTCTAACCTGATTATTACTTACCCGGTGATCCCAGAAGATGCGAGTAATATTTCTTAGGTATCTGTGGTCGAAAAGTAGTAGCTTACGAATATCGACTAACATTGTCATTTATCATAATTCATAACACACTTTTAAATTTGATCATAAAACATCAGAGATAAATTTCTCTATTTCAGTTTGATATTACTAATAAGTAACAATTAGCAAGTAAAATATGATTAGTGTAATTCACATAAAATCATCCTTCATTCTCTGCTAAAACTAGTAGAAATCAGAGAATTTAATGTAAAATGAAGTAAAGAAAAGAAAAACCAATTTTAATAACTGACCTATTCCATTTAAATGCATGCAAATTGAGCATGATAGCACGAAAATATAAATGATTCTGTAGTAGAATTGCTTCAGCCTCTTGATATTCACCTATAAAAAATTGAATTCAAAAGAAATAGTACGAGTTATGTGTTAAATGAAATTGAACCATGATAATTTAACGAGCCCCCAAATGCCTTGGTATGGCCGAGAGTGGGGTGGGCCCGCCCTCCTCGAAATGCTCTCACACGGCCACGCATATACAGCCTCTGCCAGGGAAGTCCTACTCACTGCCTTCTCGCACCAGGGGTGTTGTTTACGAAATTGAGAGGACGAAAAGCGAATGTCCGGCGCTTTAACCGGATTCCAAACCAATGGTGCACATAGGCTCCAGTATCCTGCGGGAACAAATGACGTATGAACCAATCGTTGGTTACCAGTTATCATGGGACTGCATCTCCTCACGATGTTCCACTGCCTTGAGGATCAGACCTTTAGGTCAAAGGCTCGGCTCGTGGCCCCCTAAGAAAACCACCTGCTTCGGTCTGGGCACTCGGGCAGTGTCACAGCCCCCACACAAATCGAATGATTTATGTGGCGCATATTTATTTGGTGCCCTCTTGTACCAATATTTATGTGTTCAAATAAAAATTAAATAAATAAATAATACATAACCGATTACACCAAAATGTAAGCAATGATTTTTCATGCAAACTGGATTACATTTGTCGACTGACTTATAGTGTTGGTAAGCTTTTGTTCCACTTTACTCAAGCTTGTGATCAATGGTCGCATAATCCAGTTGGATGAATCATGTGATCTGTTGAGCCTAGTGTTAGGTGTATGCCCAATGAAATCCTTATCCTTTTATTTTATAACCGTAGGAAAAATTTTAAAATGATAAATTACAATTACAGTATAAATTGCAAATGTGTTGATCAAAAAAACTTTCCTTTGCGCTGCGGCTGTCTTCATAGGATAATACCATGATATCTTAGTTATTGTAATCAGTGCAAGCATTTTGTGCTTCAGTCATGATTTACACGAAATAATATTCTGTTGTGTTAGTGAAAATCATGAAGGCTTAACAGCTTTGTCATCCTTGTTTGAGACTGATTCATAATAAACACTCCAGATAATACCAATGATCAAAGTCGCCACGTAAAATTCGACAAAGAAAATACATCTCAACGCAATTCATGTTACTCAATGGTCTTCAAGCTTATAGATTACGTCTATCTTGTCAACTTAATCTATTGTTTGATTATATCAGTTTTAATTAACGATAATATCCAACAGAAAAAACTTCCTAATTTTGGTTGTATAATCACCTCGTTTGTTAAAAGCAATCATTAGCAAAAACAATTTATAGCATTGTGATAGTATTTTAAATATACAATCATACATCACCTCTAACCTGATAAAAGTAACATTTCAGCATTTTTCATTTCTGTTGTAGGTAAACTTTTGATATATCGAATATATTCCACTTTATCGACCTGAATAATAATGTTTTAATGATTAGAAAAAGATTTACGAATGGTCAATAGGTAAATTATGCATGAACAGCTCTGTCAATAAACAAATTATGGTTTCAAATAAGACGTTCACGTGGATTATTGTTTACGATGAAATCTAAGAGTAATGTTTCTTTCTGTTCGAGACTCATCAGCTATATATATCTGAGCTTTAATGTTGAATTTCATATCACTACTCAAATCGAGTACTTGTGGACTGAAATGTTAAACATCTTATCCATTGAGTTACTGAGTTGAGAAAACCACCAACTCGTTCAATGAGGAAGATGTTTTTATCTATATATTTTGTAAAAACTCGTGACAACTTACTTATAGCGAGGTCGTTTATGCAGGATGGGCATATGTCAACAGAAGCTGATCGAATTACAATCTTGAATATCAACAGTGGAAGAATTCAAACCTTTGACAATAGTGAGTCATAGAAACTTGTATCTACTGTGAATTCTTATAATAGTCAATAGTACTTGATATTTCATTTCATTGTATATTAAAAAGCTTTTCCGGATAGTGTTTTTTTAACAAGGTTGTTTTCTACGGAGTGGGGTTATTGACCTCATGCCCAACTCTTCTCTTTTACCCTGGCTTGAGACCGGTAGTAACCCTAGAGGAGCTACAGGCAGAGTAGACATCAGAAGAATAAATAGCGACTGGAAAAGATTGCCCAGGAAGGATCTCGATGGAGAGTCCTGGTGTGTGGCCTATGCTCCTCCACGAGGAGTAACATGGGTGTAGGTAAGCAAGTATGTAAAGAGTCGCTCATAAAGATAATAATAATGGTTGGTTAATTTCTTTAATTAATATACAATACTAGGAGTTGTCGCTCAAGATATCATTTATCAGATACTAATACTATATGTCTTGTTGTAACGGGTGTGACTGCAGGTTTTTAATAAGCAGCGTTTATATCGATCGCTTCTGTGACAGTGGACACGTAAACATGTAAGGACGACCTAGTGCCCTGATTGGCCCTGCTTCGCTGTCCGTCCTAGCCCAGTTGAGTGAAGAACACAAGTCACAGCCTCGGAGTTATGAATCATTGTATTTCAAACATACTCTATTTATATACCAAGCAAACAACCCACATCGTACCATAAAATAGGAAACAACATTTGTACAATATTTAACAAGTGAAATAAACATCGACCAATAAGAAATGTACATTTAAGGTTCAAGGACACCACTGAACTTAACATGGTAATTATTGGTCTCTTTTTCCGACTATCCTAACATGTCTGAATGGCTTTGTAATGCTGAACAACTTTGATGGGCAAAGACCATTATAAAAAGCAAAAGATGATTTCACAATAATCGGGTGCTAAGTGTATAAAAGATACTAAAAACAATGTTCTATTTGTAAAATTCACAGATACCGAAATAAAGAATAACTCTGATTCAAACTTTTTCCAGAAAACAACTAACATTATCAAAGGTATAATAAGGCCAAGAATTAATTTTGTACGACATCCTTATCTAATCATATTCGAATAGTAACTTTGTTTCATGTAAGGATTGGAGTGATGTGATATGTTCACATGACATAATCTGGATAGACTTTGCTTCAAATGAAGTATGCTGGGTTAAATGACTGAATGAAAAGGAAAAAAATTTTCATTTTCTCTGCTCATTGTGATTTTTATTCAACATTAATTCCGTTTTTAATTCAACGTGATTATTACTAATGCGTTGTGTGCTACGGATGTCGATAGATATAAGTAGTATGTATCATCAACCGGAAGTGAAATACCTGGCAGCAGAAGGTTAAGAAGATCGAAGAAAAGAGAACGAGAACAGTGAATGATTGGTGTAAAAATGAAGGAATTTTGAAGTCTGAAACGATTGATTAACATTTTGCAAATGAAGTTTTTAGTCCTACAGGGTGTCCTTTGTAATTTCTAGAAATGTCTTACAAGGAGCAGATAATGCTGAGAATACATAGTCCAGTCAGCGATCTCTAGAAACCCCCAGAGGAATTCGAAAAAACGACAGATTATATTATGGTTAAAAATCTCATTAGCGATTTCAACCTGTTCGCAGAAACTTCTGAAATCTTAAGGTCACTAGCCTTGAATCTAGAGAGTCTTTCGTATTTTCCGTTTATTGTTGTCCAGTGCATTGTTAAAGAGTAAAATATCTCTGAGGACTAGAAAGCGGTTAAGAAGTCGATGTTAATACGTCTAATTCTTAGGCTTATCACATCGCATCCTTAACAACCGCATTTTAGAAACACTATTCAAATTGATTCGGTTAAAAATTAACAAGTTAAATAATATATATTTATAGAATAATTATGATCTCGTGCTTTTCTCTTTTTAAAAAAACTTACTTCTTCAATTTCAGCAAATGCTATTTCCGCTACATCCAACATTTTAGCATTTGTTGCTATACCAGCTAAACATGCCCAAAGAATCCGGTCCTATTGTGTTTTTAAATAATAAATAACAATATAATTCTGAGTTTAATTGCATCTCTTAACGGCTTTATGTGGAAGTATATTTGTAAGAGTTCAACAATAAACTCATTTCATTTACAGGTCTTTACTTTGATCTATGACCGTACGACTGACGACCAACAAACGTAAAGACACTTTCAAACTGCTTTTTATCATTAACTTACGAATTAAGTGACGCTATGAAAAAACTAAACTTTATTGTCGCGGAGTGAACATTAATTCTGGGATTTAGATACATCCCGCTGACAAGTACCAAATACGATGGGATATGCGTCCTGAATTCCACTGCTAGCCACCATTCATCTCTGCTTAGAAAATGCTTGTGACTTAGTGGCACTATCAAGGCAATCTACTCAAGATGTAAATATGCTAAAAAGAGACTGATCAACTTCAGTGTTGAACATAAAGGTGAACATTTAAATAAGCAGTACATGACTTAAAACTTCAAAGGCTGAATTCGGACAAGTTACGTGATCTATTTCAACTATTCAGTTTGGTAATGATAGAAGATGGGTGCTTGTCATCTACTGTTATTAGATCATTGAATTTTCTTTGTTTTTTCAGACATTTTGGTACTTGTTTACCCACCCAGTTTGAAAATACCGATTACTCATCCCTATTTGTATGCGTTCACACTCACATGTCGATCGGTAACAGATTACTTATAATGTATTGCGTCAACATATCATGTTTCTGACGAACTTGACCTTTCTACTGCATTGTTTGAATTTTTCAAAGGGACTGACTATTTCAATGTAAGATTATTGGCTTATAAATAGGTAATTTGTTTTAACTTTTAAACGATCATGAAGTGGATCTCCTGTTCGTAGATAACTCCACCAGCAATAAAAGTGAATTAAAAGTCACTGCAAAGATTAATGTAATATAGTTTTTTATAACGCGACAAATATTGGAAAAGTTGTAACTTTATCTGGTTATCATTATATATAATTTTATTGTATACATAGTAAATAACCGTTCTGTTGCATTTCTGTACTTCCCTTATCGCAAGCTTCCAGTGAACCTATCAACTGTTGTTATATATATATATATATTACTATCCCCTAATTATTGCCAATTCATTATACTGTTTGCTCTGTTTTTTACCACTTATGGTAGGATTGTGTTTAAAGTATGATTTCTTGTTTGGTGTTCTGTATGTTCAAGCATTTCAGTCGTAATATTGTATGTATTTTGAGCTAAAACTGAACTGAGTACAACAGACATCTAGTCTACGTCCTATTTACGTCTTCTGATTGGCTGCTAGCTAAGAAAGATCTTGACGACCTATAAGCATCAAGATCTTGCTATCGTTCATTGCTCAATGTCATTTGGTAAATCACATAAAACATTGCAACACACTGATAATATATTAGTTTACCTTAACTGTCCAGCACAACTTGAGTGCTTCATTCCATTTACTTAGACCAATTAATTGATGTAGTTTATCAGGGTAAATTGAAATCGGACAATAAACAGTACTTCCATCAGCCCGTTTTATCATGATTCGATCTCGATAAAAATTAATCAATTCTAATTGTTTCCCATAATCATCACTGATAATTACAAAACGAAATGATAAACAATGATTTATCGATACTCATTTAATAAATAGTAAGTAAACAATAAATAGTTGGCGTATTTTAAAAACCTTTACATATCTGGGCAGCATCATTGATGAACACGGTGGATCTGATGCAGATGTGAAGGCGCGCATAGGCAAAGCAAGAGCAGCATATTTACAACTGAGGAACATCTGCAACTCAAAACAACTGTCTGTCGACCAACACCAAGGCCAGATTTCTCAATACAAATGTCAAGACAGTTCTACTGTATGGGGAGGAAACCTGGAGATCTACGAAAGTCATCATCCAGAAGATACAATTGTTTATTAACAGCTGTCTAAGCAAAATACTTCTGATCCGTTGGCCAGACATTATCAGCAACAACCTACTGTGGGAGAAAACAAACCAGATCGCAGCGGAAGAAGAAATTAGTAAGAAGTGTTGGGAGTGGATAGGAAACACGTTGAGGAAAGCACCCAACTGCGTCACAAGGCAAGCCCTCACATGGAATCCTCAAGGCCAAAGGGAAAGAGGAAGACCAAAGAACAAATTACGCCGAGAAATGGAGACAGAGATGAAAAGAATTAACGAAAATTGGATAGAACTAGAAAGGAAGGCTCAGGACATAATGGGTTCGAGAAAGTTGGTCGGCGGCCTATGCTCCATTCGGAGTAACAGGCGTAAGTATGTAAGTATTTTAAAAACATGATTTTATCACAGACTGACACCATCCGCAAAATTTGAAAAATAAGAAGTTCGAATAGGTCTTTTATTCTGATTTAGAGATTATCAGTGAATAGTTTCATGCCGGGGATCAAACCCAGAACCTGACAATTACGCGTCGGACATGATCTAAAGAACTTACTGAGTCAAACTTAAAATTTTAATTGTCCATTGTTTATACATTTTTTGTAGTAACTCAATGAAATATCATCCTATAATAAAAACTCACTATAAATTTAACAGTATCCATAATTCATTTAAATTCACATACATATCAATTCACTAGTCTGTATACGCTGAAAAGTCTATGTCATAATGTACAGATAGATTAAACCACTGCGAGCATACTTGTTAACGTACTATATGTTTTTGAACTTAAAGTTTGAATTTCTTATCTAGATTCTTGATGCTTTCACAAATTCATTTACAATAAATCAGTCATCAATAATTTGTATACTATGTAAGAAGAAAATAGAATTTTCACCAGAGTTGGATGATGGCTAACAATGGGATCCAAGATTTGTGTTTCGTTTAATTTAGAACTCATCAGTTGGATGTACCCACATCCCAGTGTTGATAAAATTATTTAAATGTGATGAAATGAGACTCAAGATACATGTTCACATTTGCTACACATGAATATCGTCAAGGGAAAAACTTATGAACTTAATCTAAGTACATCTAATCATTTTTTTTAAAAAGAAAGCCCACACTGATGAGAATTAATTAGTCCTCTACAGAATCATCATACACCCACTAGTGAATAATTTTTAAAAGTGATTCTCGGAGTTAAAGACGTGACTAGTGGAGTCTAACCATGTCAATTGTGAGGCAGTTAGCTACCTATCAATGCCATTAAAAGATGGATAGGTCGTATTGTAAATCATTTGCAGTTAAGAATCCAAGCTACTGGATTTCAGATTGGCGGTATAAAGGTTAAGGGCTCGTCAAGATACTTGAAGGTCCTATGTTCTACTTCTAATGAGGTTTTGGATGTACACTGCAGAACAACTATCCAGTCCGTCCTGGTTTACAATGGTTGCCTAACTGACACCGGTATATAATGTAAAACTACATTAATCCTAACTTCGGAGATAAGAATTCAGTGCTGACTTGTGTTACGTACATCATATATGTATGATATCCTATTAGAAAATTGAAGTAATCGGACGTTTTCTAATTACTAACATATTATCCCGACATAAACTATAGATTTTCATGTTATCTTAAGAAAATATTCAGTAAAGACGTTGGAATTTTATATTTGGGATTATTAGGAGATCATTAGAGACTTTCTGAAAATCAAAGAGTTTAATTAAGAGGAAACATACTAAACCCACTTTAAAATTTCGAACTATGAGATACGATAACCCTTTTTATTTGATATTTGATCATCTATGTTGTGTTTAATAGATGTGTGTGTATTATAGTACTAATAACTATATAAAATTATGTGGGTGAATGGAAAACTTAAAGTCAATGAAAAAGCACCCAATCCGATTGCGGATACATACCACTTTAAATATTTAGACGTATATTTCTTTTACTTGGAACAGAATTCATCTGTTTTAAACCTCATCATGTTGATTATTAAGTGAAGAAATACACAGACTAAGTGAATAATTCACTATTCTAAATCAGTTTTCGAAAAAAGCTTAGGTGAAACAACCAGGTATTTGGAATATAGGAATTACCACTTTTACTACTGAATTTCAATAAAGTAGGCTCAATCAATCAATAAAACAATCAGCAATCATCCATCCAATTAAAGAACTTTCGAAATTCCTTCAATAAAATTTACATTATGTTATGTTCTTCTTGTGTTAAGTTAAGTATATCACTATTGGTCAGTGCAATATCAGGATAGAACCAGATGACAAGTTTATCGTTTGTTATGGCTGCCAAAATATTTGATGTCTCAGCCCATAGAAATGAACTAACCATTGTAGCTAAACAGAATTTGTAAAAGAAAAGTTAAATTTATATAACTCAAGAATAATTGGACATCGGTCAGCATTATTGAATGAAAAATATGCATAAACGAAATACTTAAATAGCAAAACTTATTACTATATTTATCTCATGAACATTACTCAGACATGGTCGTAAACCCGCAATACTGACTTAACAAAAACTAGTGATTGTACCTGCTAATGACTAAAGCTTTAATCTGAGGGATAAATTTTGTATTATCGTTAGACTAATTTGCCGATTATATCTTTATGTTTATTGAAACTCCCAATGAAACTTGTTCCTACCAACCACTGAATCTAGGTGTTTATAATTGTCAAACTAAATTCTGACCCCAACCAGGTAATTACATCTGTTAATTCGGATCAGTCCATTTGTCAATGACTTCATGGACTGATGCTATGTATGGTTTTCTCGACCATAAATTTCTTCCAACCTACTCCTACATCAGCCATTATCAACCGTCGAGGTAATCAGTGGATTTGCATTTGTAATACATGTCCCAACAATCTCAGTTGATAAAGATCCATTACTTCGTCAATTGATTTGCTACACTTACCTAGTACTCTGCGTATGACCTCAGAATTACTAATTTATTGATCTCAGAATATACAACAATGCTTTGAAGACAGCTGTGATCGAATACTAGTAGCTTCTGCTTTAAAAGGCTGTATTTCAAATTTATAAATAGAAAGGAGCAAAATACTGCATAATAAACATATCCTTTAGTTGACAAATGGGTATCTCGCCTATACCGCAATCAACATAAGTTGACAAAATCTGACTACAAGTAATACTCAATTCGACTTTTTGTCTCAGTCACCTGATAAACTTACCTAATTTAACCATTTTCCTTTGATTACCAAGTATTCTAATTGACATTAAATATAAGTCTTTGTTATTATCTAACAGAGCCAATCGACGATCAAATGAATTACCCATTTGATTTAAACTGATTTTAATAATTTCATTCTATAAAACAAAGAAAAAAGGCTGTCGTATCAGTGAAATGTCAAGTAAATGGAAAACAGAAACAGTATATTATTATATTCGATAACCATAGTATAATCCAATGTTTGAAAATAACTGATCGAAAATCATGAAGCTCGATTTCGAACTCATTCGTACTCTTCCTAGTATGGGACTCCTCAGTAGTGTGCATACAAGATCCCGCACGCGTACTCGAACTCAGGATCTTCAGTTTCGCGTGCAAACGCTTACTGAGCCGGCATCTAACGGTTTTAGTGTCTAACTTCAACTGGTCCATGATATTTTGCTACTGTCTTCCATTGTCTTCAGTGAGTAACGGCCTCACAACAGACACGAATGAACTCCACTGGTCATGGCTTTTCATTAGAGCTCCAGGAAACCCATCTCGTTGTAAGGCAGTTACTCAATAGAGATAAAGGAAGATGGACATGTAATATGGTGGATTGATTGTTGTCCGATTCAGTGGTCTAGAGGTTAGGCGTTTGTGCGCGAGTCCGAAGGTTCTGGGTTCGAGTCCCACCTATTGGATCGTGGATGAGTGCTGACGAAGAGTTCTATGCTAGGACGAAAAGGTCGTTCAGTTATTCTATATTTCCGATGGTATTCTAACATTAATCCATCTATTATATTAATCTAAGCTCAACAATCTCCACAACCCATTACTGATAAGTACCCGAATTCGTCAATAAAACTTAGGAAAGACAATTATAAATCATTTTAAAAAATCCATTGGTCTATTGAATGGTACAGTTCATATTTTAAGGAAAAGATTCAATAGCACAAATCAGCTGATAGATCTTGTATATCAATTGAATCTTGAAGGTCAATATCCTTTAATCAAATTATCATAGTGCATATATAGAACAAAGCGTTTTGTAAATTTAATTTTGGATATTCTATAGTCAGTCTGTACAATTGAGATGAAATAATTCAATCCAAGTAAATATGACCCACATTTTTAAAAATGAAAAATTTCCTAACAGAAACTATGTAATCACTAGGTTTCAAGCGGTGACGAGTTCACTTAGTCTGCGAACGGAACAAAGACTTGTGATCAAAGACCAATAAACTAGCTATTCTATTGCGTCCCAGCCCCGCTAACTAGAGAGAGAAGTCGAAGTCTGAACGAGGAAGTATATTCCGCAAAAAGTCAGAAACACGAGCGAGCAATAACAACAGACACAAATTAAACTTATATATACAGCATAAAACTGTCCTTGAAAAGCGTTACAAAATAGCATACTAAAATGCACAACAGACCAATAGCGTTAACGATTCTCCCAAGTGGAAAATACGACATGAAGGTAAAAAGAGCACTTTTGGCGCGAAAACAAGGAAATTCAATTTTTTCAAAATAAAATTACAAAATTAAGGCATTTACCAAGTGAGTTCTGGGGATCTAACGTCCCCAATAGTAATCAGTAGGAAAATCCAATATTATTTATAGTAAATAGTATAAATAAGTGAGTTTGGGACTAAATCAAGCCCTATGTTAAACGAAACTGTTTCATTAGCTTTCTTCAAATTATAGTCAATTTTCCCTTTAATACTTAAGGTTTCAAATTATTTGATCTTTTTTTTTTAAAAAGAACCAAGACTGAATAACTTGGAAATTAGTTTCCAAAAGTTCTCACTGAAAATTGTTGATCTATGAAGTTCATGAAGTCTGTTATGAAATTGTGATACTCCGTCAGTATTGAATGAAAACCATATTGTATAAAAGATAATTTGAACTTAAAAATGTGAATCAACCTATTCAAATAAACAGAATTTATTACAGATTCTAGATCTGTTCTGAGCCCGTTCTAATGAAAATCTTGAAACTAAGTAATTATTTCCTGTAGGACAGAAACATTCTGTTATGACGAATGATGTTCAAGACTGTTACTGATACACAAACTTCCTATATCCAACATCCAACCGGCTACTAAGTGAGAAGGATAAGAGTGAGGATGGAGGTTAACTAAGCTACACCGATTCACATCTATATATATTCCTTAGGAAATAAAACTATTTCGTGACCAATCGCATGCACTTGGCATCAGGAAATTTTTGATTGACACAGAGTGTCCTTCGCATTTGGCAAATTTTGTTTGGCCCTCTTCTGTAGGATATTTATCTACTTAACGGTTTTTCACCTAACTTCAGATTGTGATATAAATAAACTATGGAATTTGATTCGGTTTAATAGTTATAGATATTATTCAATAATAATATAACAAAATGATAGCACTTACCGAATGTGATATTGGTTTCCCATCACCGAGCGTTTTACCACTCGATGGATCAAATAAGTGAATAACTGAAAAGTAAATCAAATAGGAATAGAACCTGTATTATAAATCATTTTTTTCATGTTAGGACAACATAGGTTAATAAATATTTATTTAATAAAGAGTCTAAAATAGATTAGTTTAATTTGTAGGTGATCTCTGTTATGAATTGACAGCAGTTAAGGTGCTACCATAAACATGAAAGAAATCGACAGCTGTTTAGTCTTAATAGCTGATTCCTTGACAATGTGCTTGCAGTGAAATCTGAGGGTTCTGGGTTCAAATCATGATTGGGTAGTTAATGAGCATTGTCATTTTGTTCTATACTAGAAGTGAACTACTGTTTATTGCCCCACCCTGTGGTTTTCAATGATTAACTAACTGATGTTGGTATATGACAAAACTATTCAATGGTTTATTAGTTCACAAAATAATAAATAACTTTGTTCCATAATTCGTAATTAAATTATGACTTGAATTTAAAACCAATTCCAAAATCAACATGGTTAACTTGATGGTTTACTTCAAACACAAGTTATGATTCTTAAATATCGACAACCACAAAAAATTATGATTATTTTTTATGTCAATTATCTATCCTCACTGATCATTCCATCATATTGGTTTAAGGCAGCACACAATCTATCAAGGCATGACGCATATTCACTTCTTTATATATCATGGGAATCTTATCAGCTTTGATGGGTCGGTCGTTGATGATTTTTTAATGTGGATAAAAACGAAGTTAGTTGTACTTCCGTTAAACTAAGGTGCCCGTGATTCAAGCTAAATGCACACCTGTCTATCAGAATGAGTAGGCTACGTATCATCTTTCTCTATGTCACTTCATCTCCATAAAATATTACCTTTGAAAATAAAAAAAGCCAATGAAGTTTGCAAGTATTCGATTACAAATACCTTTCATATGCTGTTCAAATACAGTGGAATCAATAAATGAGTAATGGTGTGGTTAGATATACTAATACTAAGCCAAAATTCTAAGTCGACTTGATAAGACCACAAACATTCAACATGCATGCAGAACATATATCCTAACCACGACCTTCTACAACAGTCAATGGTGTCTAGGTTAAAAGAGGGCTTAAAAAAAGCCATAGCATCCAAACCAAGATGTGTTATTAGTTTAGTAATTCACTTACTATTGAACTTCGACTTGGAACATGTTTTTATGATAATCATATTCTGTGGTAGAAGATATCAAGTGGAATCTTTCAAAACCGGTTATAGTAGTTCAGTTTTATTTGTTCTTTACCATCCTCTAACTCTTGAGTTTACATATTATCTCATACCTTTTATTTCTCGACCTGATTGATTTGTTATAAAATAAATTTTCTGTTTAACTTTTTATCGTCACTGATACTGTTACTATTTCAATCTCTTTCATTTAGGTTTTGTCTATTTCCTCTTATATTTTGCTGATAGAAGGTAAAACAACTTGAATGGATGCATATTTATCCCAGTTTTAATGTTTAATATTAAATTCCAACTAATTGGATAAATTACTGATCAGGATTTCAAAATAACTAGATTATGTAACAGACAGGTCTTCATAGGATTAATAAACAATGATCTTATCATATTAATTTAAACAAACTAACTTTTCTTATCTAATTGATCTTTAATACCAATTACATCATTGCTCATAGTTAAAGAATCTGCATAAATTTGTTCCGCGTGTATATTAGCATGTTTTAATGAACAAACAAGACGTACATCATAATTGTAGATATACACACTGGATCCATCAGCTAAAGCAAAATATCTGTAGTAAAAAGATTAGTAATTATTATTGTTTAACTTAAAGAAAACAGTATTTTTTTTAACTGAAATCCTTTTTTTAGAAGATAGCTTTCATCATTTACTGATATCAGATCTTGTGGTGAACACGATATTAATGAGTTAGGATCATGTGGCCTAGATTTCAATAGTTTTTTTACATACATCAGTCTATGATGGAAGTCATCTTCAAATTTAACAAGTCTGAAAGTAGTTCCATCAACGTATATCTTCTTATAATGGAAAATCGGTTTAATACCTATAAATAATCAAAGATTTGTAAATACCACGATCGTACTGTTTTTTCAAATTATGGTACAGAATAATTATGGTTGGATTATTGAGAATTCCTATCCCCTGAAGTAGAATAACTCACTTAAAAGAATAATATCGTCTCTCATGGGGGTGAAGATATTTTGAATTCCATGGTGAAAATCACAAACTGATCTTTGTTAAACAATCATCATAAATGAGGAAGCACCAGATAGCTACCTCGTTCTAATGTGGGACTGCTTAGCAGTGCGCTTCGGTGTTGGAGCCCTGGCATTATCCTAATACACACAAATGGAATCACTTGTGTGGCGCATATATATGTAATGCCTCCTTGTACCAACGTTCAAATATCTAAACAGTAATAATAATAGTAGTGCGCATCTCCAACCTTCGGCACTGTGTGCGAACACTCAGCCTGTATGCCACTAACACGGCGTTGGATGGTTTACATGTTTTAATTCCATCGAGTCGTAATATCGCGTAATCATCTTCCAATATACTGCCTCACACTCAACATAGTTGATTCGATTTTGATTAGGTTCTGGTCCAGTACACCATAATATTTATTTCCGTGCATGAAAAGTACAAAACCAATCATGACAATTTACAAGTCAATGATAATACTGAAAAAGGATTATATGACTAATCATAATAAGTAGGAAGTATAAATTGATAGCAATATTAAAGGTTTAGTAATAATTATAATAATTATAATAGACTGAATAAATATTTTTACATAAAGAGTAGGTCGAAACTTGAGGAAATAAGCTTATCAACATAAAAATTACTAAAAACTAAATAATAGGAGATTCGTGATTAATTAGCTCAAATATGTTAGTAGGGACAAAAGGGGTGTAACAAAACAAACAAGCAAAGGGTGTGATAAACTGGTAGAATTTTCTATTGAGTTTCCCAGACAAGAAGGAGACAGGCGTGTTATAAATTTCTTTTGAATAGAGAGGTTAAAGTTGTTAGCTCCAATCCTTATAAGGTCTGTTATATGTAGGATACGAGGTCGAATCACTCTGACTACATCTGTCCTATCTACCACATGGAGAATGTCGTTCTAATGTGATAGAACGAAGTTGCATATGGATTTTGTCTGATCCTTTTAAACCCGTAAAAAGACATTTTTGTTAATTTGTTGACTCAGTTGTTCAATAGAACATCGAAAATAGCTTTCGTCATAGGATCAGTTGGATTCGTAAATGCACGGTAATGGTGCGAAAACAAGTAACTTACTCTTTAGTTGAAAAACTAATAATAATCAACTGGAAAGTTCAGCTACATTAACATTTGTTGTTCTTCTAATTACCCTACTGTGTAAGGTGTCTCTAACTTTACCTCTGTCGAGTTATACCTTTAAGAAAAGAGAATCTTTATGAAGTTAATCAAATTAAAAGCAACAGAACAAGTTTTAATCACTTGGGAAAGAATCTTAATAGCTTACTTTCTTAAAATATATGCTGATATTGTCTAGGAAAACAATGGAAATTTCAAGACTAAATCAGCTCAGACAACATAAATCCCAAAAATCTAGATCACTGGGCTGGCATCCGATAGTTTACATGCTTAACTTTGAAGAGTCCATGATGTAAATTATAAGATTGGAGACATTTCAATTTCAGACTATTCGGTTGGAATGGAGTCTCATTAACGACTCTATTGTTACTCAGTTTCACAAGTGGTATGAATCTCTTTAGTCCTACCGTGAGCATTTTTGTAAGACAGTGGTTTCACATTCAAAATGGACTATTCTCAGCTTCTTCTCACAGAAAGTTTTCTTTTAATAAGCTAATGTAGTGATGTGACAAGTTGAACTGATAAGTATCCATATTAGATCCTAAATTATCTATGAACGATACTTTAGTGGCTGAAGCATTATTCTTCCGGTTATTTTGTAAATTTTGAATTTTCAATAAATTTATATAGCCTGAAGGTTATACTTTCACAATTAGAAATCAAACTTATGATAAGTCATTGAGAAGCAACCATTTTGATTCGAAGCTTTTATATTATCTAGATTTTAGTAAGTTAAATATTTCGGTAAATTGATTAGTCAGGTATTTTTACTCATGAAAATCTTTTTTAACCACTCGAATGATTAAAACATTATTACAAAATGGTAAGATGTTAAATAACTCACTTCTGACATTGAGAAATATGAGTAACGTTGGACTCTTTAAGTTCAATAATGGTGGGTGTATTGAAATTTTTAATACTGAAAAATAAATTTATAAGAAGTTAAATATTGTAATACATAATTAAACTAACAAATAATGATGGATGTCTTGAAACAGAAACTACCTAAAGCCTGGTAAATTTTGGTGTTGGCCTCACTTTAAACTCTTCTGCTGGATTCCCCTGTACACCAATGGTTATGCCCATACTGTAACGCGGAACCTGTACCAGTCATTTCGAATCCTAAGCTCATTATCCTCTGAGTTGTTGAGTTCATATATTCACCATCTTGTGAAACAAATACGAATTTTGTTTTCGAGGTTTGTGTTTTCTCTTTGTTGATATTTTTTCGGAGCGAGAAAAGTAGTTGCCATAGACATAGAGTTCATCGTTTGTGTGTGGGCTGTGATACTGCCCGGGTGCCCAAACCGAAGCAGGTGGTTATCTTGAGGGGGCCACTTCCCGAGCCTTTGACCTAAAGGTCTAACCCACAAGGCAGTGGAGCATCGTAAGGAGATGCAATCTCATGGAAGCCGGTGACCAAAGATTGGTTCATACGCCATTCGTTCCCGCAGGATACTGGAGCCCATGTGGACCATTGGTTTGTGATCCGGTTGAAGCGCCGGACATTCGCTTTTCGTCCTCTCATTTTCGTAAACAACACCCCTGGTGCGAGAAGTCAGTGAGTAGGACTTCCCTGGCAGAGGCTGTATACGCGCGGCCGTGTGAGAGTATTTCGAAAGGGAGAGCGGACTCACCCCACTCTCGGCCGTACCAGGGTATTCGGGGGCTGTAACCTTCTTTTACTTTCTTCATAAAAAGTGGTTCTGTCTCCCTTACCTGAAAGATTTCTTCCGATTGTACCTTTGCGTTCCCTGATTACTAGCACATTACCTTACACCAATCTCTTCGTTATTGTTCTCTCTTTTTTTTGTTGCGCTCCTTAGCTTTTTTTTCTTTCTTTGTATTCCTCTCGAATTTTCATTGTTTTGTGTGGCGCATATATATTGGCGCTCTCTTGTACCAATATTCATGTGTCCAAATAAGTAAACTTTGTTGATATTAAGAACAGTAACTGGTTACTCTTTTTACGCATGCATATATATTTACCACATGGTCTGAATACTACAACTCAGTCGCAAGTTTTTAGTAACGCTAAGTAGTCACCACTTGAATTATTTTAATAATTACTAATTGTAAGCTTTAATTTTCATAATATTGAGATATTAGACAATTATTTGATTGAATAAATACTGTTGCAGTGGTGAATAAATCCCCAGAATAAATAGCCCTGTAAGTCTTCGATATTGGATACTGACCACATTAGTTTGAATGGACTCACCTAACTGAAGACGCTCGGTCATGCATCCGCAAATGATCACGAGTGAGAACGCCGTGTTCAACATCCTCTGTAATCCCTAGCCAGATTAGATCAGACGATCCTCTATATATTGATAGCCTATCAAATATATCTTCGAACCTCCTCTCTTCTGTCTTTTGATTTCACTTAGTGTGTCCGATTCATATTAGAAGGTGTTACTGGTTAAAGCGTTGTCAAACTCCAAATACCTGTGGCATCTTCACTGTATTGGCTCAATTTTATGATTAAACTTCTTAACCAGGGTTTAGTTTCATGTCCTTGGGTATGAAGTGAACTAACTTACTTAAAATATTCACTAATTAATGGGACTTTGTTATATTTCAAACGACTTAGGGTAGTTGGGATGAAAATACTACATTTGAACTCCTTTTTATTAGTACTTAATATACAGATCGAAACGTCCCCCTAATCCTTACTAGTTATCTTTTCTACAAATAAAATAAAAGATACACTAGTAGCTTACTGAGTTATTTGTCCTGTCATCCGAATCAAACTTATCTCTACAAGCCATTCAGTTGAATGACTATTATATATATATGAGTATACATGAGTAACGCAGATATCCTCAATAACATTGGATGCTGGTTGTCAGTCTTTTATTAATTCCCCAGTGACTTAGAATTTGGCGCATATGTATGTCAGTTCAAGTTGCCAAGCTATATAAGCATAATGAGATCGAATTGTACGGATAAATGCCTGAGTACTGTCAATGGTATCTGTGGTAATAATAAAGGTTTGACACAGATAACATGATTCGAGAAAACTGAACTAATTCCACGTCACGAATTAGATCAAACTAGAAATATAAATCACTAAGTTTCGACTTGGCGCTCGTGCTCGCCACGGAACTTGGATGTTCTTGATTCAGTCATTAGTGAGATAATGGATGGGGAGTTTACAACCAGAAAAAGCCAACCATCAAGTGCTTTATGGTTTTCAAAAGATTCCTTATTGATTTCAAACAGTGCTGAAATCGATTTCGGAACTAGACGACAAAATGGTTTATAAAAAAATACTAAACACTCACTTGTATACATAGCACTGAGTGCTAGTTACTACAATAAAGTAATTGAAACTGAATGATGCTTTTGATACGCGATCACGGAATTCTAAACGTTCTATCGATTCATTCCGTAGATTGTGCAATACAACAGTTCGTTCATCTGTTAACACTGCTTCAAAACCATTCCATTCTAAACATCTTTCAGTAACATATCCATTAATTATTCGACCATTTCCACCAGCACACGCTATTTGATTACCATCAGGAGACCATTTGATACTCAGAACACTACCAGTATGTGTTTTCTCCAAAGCATGAATCCACTGAAAGTTAGAAATTCAAGAAATAACATTTAAATTAATTCAGATTACTATTGGGTGATGTTAAGAACGTAGCGCAATATAACGAACTGATGTGCATTGAAGAACCATTAAAAACCTATGGACTGTGGTCATAAATCGAAATCCAGTGGCATACAACAAAAACTTCGATCGATCAATAAAATGGTACGACCATGATCTAATATCATTAATGATGTCTTTTTCACTTTTGATGCGATCGAAATGTATAAAATTCATCTCTTTACTGAAACCTGTAGAGTATCTCCTGAAATTCAGACTTGCTACAAACCCAAAATTAAAACAAAATAACTGTTCCATGCTTGCTGACCTCTAGCGGTTTCTCTGTTATTATCAGTCAAAACAGTCGCAAACGTGAAGCCCTATGAATTTGGACTTGATCTATGTTGATTTCAGTGATCAACACTAATGTGGTTCTATCTTGAATCTAAATAGCCACACAAGTACAAACTAGAACACACCTATATCGATTCTTGAATGATTCGATCGCAATGTCTGTAAGTGATCATAGTGTTTGTATGAACTAATGATCTCTTTGTACTTGATGGTTATTTGATTTCGAATTCCAAATACAGTACCTTCGTTCGTGCTCATCTAGTACTTCTCGGTTAAACCGCGTTATTTCTGGGATTCCTAGTTCGTACTATAATTCAAATACTTCAGATTATCACAGTGATACATTCTCAAACCACTCCATGAGTATCAGTCCCCAAATGGTTGAAGATGCACTATGAATATGAGTGCTAACAAATGCAAAATAATTAACGAGACTAAAAACAACCAAGACATGACGTAACTATGATTTTTAGATTTCCCTATAGATTCATCACAACTGCATCTTTACAGCTTCAGTTTCAGTTGAAAAGGATTAGAGATGAACTTGAAACTGTTACCAAAATGCAAATGCAAACTTAAGTTCCAAAATATTTTGATAGATTAGTTATTCTGAAAAGCCAAAAATTTACCGATAAATACGTATCTAAGATGATGTCTTCGACTGGTCCAAAATATAACTTACAACATTAAATTCATCTAAGAACACTATTGAAGTTCTTCAGCGTTTTCAAAATATGAGAACCATAAATGCTAATGTTTCCCAGAGGAAAACGTTTGACATTTTAAAATGTATTTCCTGGTTTTATTCTAAAGTAGTACAAATAGTACGTTGATGGTCTGTATCTCCATATTAAACAATGACTCCAGTATTTTTATGTTTTACTCTTTTTATCCTTTAAGTATAAATCATTTCCAAGGATTAGAGTATAATTAATATCCCACAACTGGACGAAGTTGTGGTGGAAGTCTCCTTTTACATGAGACAAATAATGAACGATACAAGACAAATATCGTAAACTCACCCCAAGTTTATCACACAACACTACAGTAGCATACGATCCAACTGCAAATAACTGACCATCAGGAGACCATGAAATCGAAGTAACTGGATATTCAAAAGGTGCACTCGAATACAAGAGCCTCCCGTAATTGTCCCATACCTAAAATACGGTTATAATCGTGGTGTTTTACTTTGTATTTGCAATCCTCTGAAGCGGAAATAAGTTGATTGTTGATGACATTCCAATCAACTTGCAAAATGACACCATCATGAGCTTTCCACTACAAGAAGCAAGTCTCTGAGGTTTTTAACTCACTTACGGCAAAAGGTTTAACATTCGCTTGAAGAGATTGTATAACTAGTTGTCTGTCAAGGGAAAAAAGCATCATACTAGAGTTATCACCCCATGAAAACGAGTAGATCGGATAACCTGATTGAGGAAAAATTCGTTACGCAATATAAAACCAAGTTACTGTGTTGACACAAAGTGGATCTTAACATCCCACTCCGTGACCAGATTTTTATTTGTCCGTCTTCTCCAGCTAAATGAACAGTGTTATTTGCATGATGCACACTAACATGTGGCAAAAGAAGTTCCATCGAAATTCCATTTCGCAGATAGAACAGCCCCTTGATGAGCATCCGAAGTTCTCTCTATTCTTTTCTCTTTAGAAATTATGTGGCATTTCCCTAAAAAAATTCAAAAACTATCGTGCAACTTTACCATCAGTAGCTCCGAGTAAGAATATTTCACTCCCTCTTGCAGCCTTGGTAGATTGTTTCGTCCTTTGTCTAGGATGCCAGTCCATACAGGTTGGAAATACATTTTGCGGCAAGCTGAATAAGTCTGACACTTGATCTGATATCAGATTCCAATATTTAACAACTCGGTCATCAGCAGTCGAAATTATTTCATCGCAAGACACCCAGTCAACAGAACTAGCTAAATCGTTATGTTCATGCTGTTAAGTAAATAACTCCTAATATGAAAATATTAAACCACTTTTAGCATGATAAAAAAGGATATGAATTATACAGTCATTCGTCACGACTTTAATTTTCATTTTTGAACAGCCTACACTAGGTACTATAGAAAACTAGCAAAATGTAATAGATCAAAACAAAGGTACCATAAAATACAATTTTCATCGAATTTTGAACTTTGGTCTTTGTTGATGGAGGGTGAGATTTTTCACCTCGTGGAGGTTCGCATTTAGGTTTTGTAGGACACTTCCTTAATGTGGACTGGTATAATCATTGTTTCAATCATTCAAGAGCCTCCAAACGCGTTTTATTGGATTATTGAGCCAATAATCTCCGATATATTCTTGCAATATCTTTTTCGCCAGTTCGTATAAACCGATTGATTGCTTTGCGCTCGCCTGTCGTTGTTTTGGTACGGTTCCAGGTACTCGGTAATGTCCAATGCGTATATTCCATCAGTCATAACATTACCAGACAGGGGGTCGATTAGTCGTAATGTGAAAACAATAAGTGATAATTCGAGTCCTGAGAGAAGATGATTACTTCGAGGACGGCGAATAAGTTTACTAATTGGTAATGTGTAAGAAGATGGAAGTGAAAGAATTAGAAAGGAAACGGAAATGATAATAAGAGACATCGAAAGTCGTTTCTGATACGGAAATAATCTTTGGGCTTGACCCCAGTAGCAATGAGGTCACGCTTTTATTGCTCACTACACTGGTTGCTAAGCTGGTGATTGATACTACTCTTGGAAATTCTCTTTTCTGTGCTTAAACGAAGTCTTTAAAAAGACTAGTAGGTCGGTTGACTTGTATCAGTGTCTGCAATAAGTTTTTTAATCCAGCCCAGTGTCCTGTTTGTTGAGACAGACTAAAGAATCCAGCTTTCGTGCACTCGAATAATGTCCTTTGACTAAATTAATGTCGCTGGACCACCTCGCATGATAATACATCAAGTAAATTGCATCTGTTCTGCTTTTCATTTAGAAATGGGTTATCCAAAATTACATCTCTAAATCCTTATCACCTTTCCACGTAGAAAACTTAAAGCGCTAAAAGTGTCCATATGACAGAAACTAAGTGCTTGCTTGGACTCACGGAGTCGTATTTCAGTTGACCTATGCTTCATTCAGTAATCACAGCGTGCATCCAAATAAATTCCACATTTACTGTGATCTAGATTCTTATAGTTTCCACGGATTTTCTATTCTTACGGACATAAACTTAGCTCGGGGACAAGCTGAGGAAGGTCGAGTTTAGAACTGGACACATGTGAAGGCTACAACCGTCAATACATAGATATCATTGTAATTAATGTTTTTATGGTGTTTAATATAGATATATTAGATTCGCATAACTGTATACTTCTTTCAGAACATGATATAGAAATGAGCATATGATTGTCTATTGCATTAATTCAATTCTACTAGTTAGCTTGCGTTCCGTTGTGTGGTGGTTTTAAATGCCTCACATGAGAACCTTTTCAATGGCCTCTTGTTTGGTTGCCCGTTTGTCGATTTTTATTTCTATTTTAATGCAGTGTGGACAAGAAGATCTTATGGAGCAGTCTTCGACATAGTGGTTTACCTAGGAATATTGTCAACATTGTTCAACATTCTTCCGATGGACTACATAGCGAAGTCATGCATGCGGAGCGTCTAGTGTTCACTTGAATGATTTATTTGGTAGTGCGCACACCACTACTTCGAATGACAAGTTACAATTATTTTTGACTCTATATAGTCTACCATGTGGTACCTTGTTAAACACTTTGCTGAAGTCTACGTAGAGAACATCCTCTAATTTCCATTATCATATAACTCTGTTCATCACTCTTTCGCCAATGGTAGGTTAGCTATTCATCTGAATCTCGCTTTTTGACGTAACGACAGCTTCTGCATATTTTACTGGAATCTACTCAATTAAAATCTATTCTGTTAGGATAGTAAAACAACCTATTGAATATCCGTTTATTTGCTAAGAATATAACTTTACATATATTCATCCGAGTGCACTAAAATCTAACAAAATTAATGATTTGCTCTAGAGGTCGATATTCATTACACTCTAATTGTCATGCTTGAATACATTCACTAGGTAGAAAAATTAGATTTTCTGACGTTTCGTGACATAGTGAGAGCCAATTCTTCAGAGAACAAACAAACAACCATTCACTAGGTTTTTATTTCTTTTCTCTCTTCATTTTCCTTCTAAACAAATATTATTCACAAGATTCCGAAGTTTGTAATTAAGACAATAACTTGTGTTACACTTAAATTTACTTCTTAGTTCCATTTTTTCTTCACTAGGTATGCAGTACTCTTACATATTGATATTTGGTGATCCTTTGCACTTAATTGAGACTTTCATAGCAACACCTCAGGCTTTGACTGCACAAACACTTATTATAACGTCATATCTTACTGCAATAATAAGTTATTTTTCTTACTTGTTTTGCTTTAGTTTACTTATGTTACTCATTTGCAGATACATAGTCGCTTATTTTTGTTCTGTGTTCACAAACACGCTTAATAAACTATTTACGTATTTCGCATCTCCTTTATTTCTATTCCCTTATTTTCTCCCCTTCCCTCTTTAAAGTCAACTCAAACAGGAACTGATTTACTATTATTCCATTATGGCAGATCTAATGCTAACATTATTGAAAGTTGTCTCATTGCTTTTTTGAAGAAACCCGAAATGGTTTCTTCGCAAAACTTATGTACCCATAAGACTTTTGGGAATCATACTAATAATTCACAGATATATCTCAAATGAAGACCGTTGTCAGACAAGAAAAGTGACAGTAGAACTCTTACAGCATTTAAGAGAAACCAAAAGGAGATTTCTTACTGAAGTTTGTGCTGATGATGTCGTTCAGAAGAACGATGGAAGCTTCACGACTAAACCATACAGCTCAGAGTGCGAAACTCCATCGAAAAGGAGAACCAAGGAGAGTGTTAGCTAAAGATTCCCTATCGTCGGTCTATGACCTCATGGTGACGTATATTCAATGATTTTTGGTAAAGACAAAATAAAGACCGTATTTTCTCTGTAGTTTGTCACACTATATGTAACCACATTTTTATTCAATATCTGTTGTTTTTCAGTATTACTTGTTAATAACAATGATAATTGTTTCGATGAAAATATACGAACCATTTGAACGATTTTACTACCGCGAGGTTTAAAAATATAAACCGCTATCTACACCGTTTGTTCTTCTGCTTTATTGACCACGGTTTTGATTGAAGACTATAATGGTGTTATAACATCCCTTTAGCCTTCCGAACACCACGTTGGAATTCTGGCACGGATTATTATATTATAATACTATTGGACGCAATCTTCCTCAATACTCCGTTGGTACAATTACTTGCAGAGGAACCTTCGTTAATCGAATGAACTTATTTGTGGTTGTTGTTCTCACGAAGCAGCTCACAAGTAACATTTATTCTACAGTAACTGTTATTGCCTGTTTGTATAATATACCATTTGTATCGTAACTATATTTTGTTACTCTTGGTTTTTACCCACAGACAGACACTTTGGATTTTTTTTACTAATAATGATTTTTGGTAGATTATTATTAAACTAGTGTATTGATATACCGTTCATAAGCTCCTTTTGTTGGGAACCACCACAAATCTGGTGAGCCCGTAAATTTTTTTCGAAACTAGTTTTGTGTTCACCCTCAGACGCTACGGTGTTACTTTCCTTTTGGTAGTAATTGTTTTTTGTATATTTGTAAAGTACACTTCCGAAACCGAAGGCACGAGCCAGGATAACTTTTCAACAGAGATGCACGCTCTAAACCTGATAAATGTGCCCCCATTCAGTCGATGAACCCACGCATTTGTTTTGCCCAAGTGGAAGTACAGTTCCAGCGTAGTAGTATACCCTCACAAACATCAAAATACTCCTTCGTGCTTGGACTACTGCCTACTGAAGTAGCATCTGAGGTATCAGATTTGATAGATAATATTCCTGCATCTAATCCATATGATCAATTGAAGCAGGCAATTATCCAACGTACCTCATTATCGGATGAAAAGAGATTACAAAAATTGCTGCACGAATGTGAGCTAGGCGACAAGTCACCTTCTCAATTATTACGCCACACGAGACAATTGGCTGGCCCGTATAAATTTGATTCTGCTTTCCTCAAGGTGATTTGTCTACAACGTTTGCCAACAGTAGTTAGGCAAATTGTTTGCGCTTCTAGCCAACCATTAGATTTAGAATGTCTTGCTAGAAATTACACCTTGTACTACACCTTACGTACAGACAAAATCAGAAACTTCGAACGACAAGAAGGCTCCTACCATAGCATTGCTAACTGCTGAGTTAGGCGAACTACGAGCACATCACGAACGAACTGTTGCCAGTCTTGAAAATAAACTAGGTGCATTACAATTATTAATCTCCAATTTCACATCTACAAGACCTCGCTCTAGTTCTCAGGGGAGTAAGAATCGAGATAACTCAAAAGGAAATAAAAACGACGACAACGTGTGTTGGTACCATAGAAAATATGGTGACAAAGCTAGGAAATGTGTTACGTCTTGTAAATTTTTCAAGTCATTTTCCTTACCAAAACGAGTCAACCAAACCATGGTAGCGACAAATGTTTCTGGCCATGCGCCTACTCGTCTTTTCCATGTTCTTGATAAAACTTCAGGGTACAAATTCTTAGTAGATACTGGAGCTGAGGTCAGTGTCATCCCATTTACCTTAGCGAACAAACCCATTGCTAAGAGTGGAAAATATACTCTAAGAGCAGCTAACAAAACCGAAAAAAAGACATTTGGCGAACAATCTCTGACATTAGACTTGGAAATTAGACGTCATTTAACCTGGGTGTTCATTATTGCTGATGTCCGCCACCCTATATTAGGTGCAGATTTTCTAAGCTTCTACAACTTACTAGTTGACGTTAAAAGAAGAAAACTTATCGATTCTTCCACGAACCTTCAAGTCCACGGGATTCAGTTGGACTACCACATACATAGTTGTTATGACTGTGAAAAATAATGCTGCGGATTAAGGGGTAGCGAATTATTGATCGGACCAAAGACGCACAAACATGTAGAACGACCTAGGGTTCTGATTGGT